GGTCACACCCCTGTCATCGACCCGCGGCGAGCCATGTTGTCCACTTCGTCGTGGTCACAATGTATCCGTACGGAGGAGCACTGCTCAGGACCCAGGACACGGAGACCCAACAAAGATTGTTGCCCATCCCAATGACCAACCGAAGAACAATCACGACGCCCATGCAGGCAAACACTGACACACAAGGGCTGGTGAGAATCGAAATGAGCGTCACAATCTCGATGCCCTACCTACAGTCCAACCTAAGACGATAAGGAATCCGTAGGCAAGATACTTTCTAATTTGTACTACCCATACGCTCCATGTTCCATTTCCGTGCGCCTGACTCCTTGCCCCCTTTTCCACATTTTGCGGGAAAATAAGTACAATAAGAACAAAAAGTCAAAAGTGCCAGCGCTGCAGACATCTCAGAGAAGGTATGTAGTCAATACAGCAGCCGTTGCAAGCCCAACGCCCTTGGCCCCTTTTCAGCGATTACAGAGGAGATATATGACCCTTGCAGTCGCACTAACGCAGTCAAATTTAGCCGTCATGCGATTCATCTTGAGTGGCGACGACCGTGACGACTCACTTTTTCAAGGCTGAATTTACTTGACAAGTTGATGCTCGTTGCGCATTCTCACAAGGTATAGTCTCCAGAGAATGGTAGGTAAAGGTAAACGGCCAATGGCATTCTCCGTGTCGAACTTTCTTTCCACTGCATCGCTTCGTTGTCCGCATCAAGAAACTGCCCATCGCGGTTCGCTTCGGTTGGGTTGGCTCCCACAGCTCCATGGAGGTTTCCACAACCTCCGCCAACAATTATTACCTGTTGAACGTATCTGCACGCTATAACCCAACATAAGATAACCTACCATCGCGGCTTGCCATGCCGATTGAGAATGCGCAGCTGCACGCGTCCATCCAGGGGAGACTGGCGCAGCACATAGTCTATCGGTGGTGTTCGTTGCTCACATCCTGTCGATATAGCCCACGGGTCAAGGATCGCATCTTGTCAGCTCTGTGTAATACCTGACTAGGCCTGAGGGATAGCCAAAGGCGAGCATGTCAGCTATTACAAAAGTGCACAGGGAGGGCGGGGGGGTTCAACGAAGGACAGAGATAGATGGCACCTCTGCATAGCTCATATCCGCGCTTCAAAGTATAGGCTTCATCGCAATGGAATCCAGCGGAAAGCTAGCAAAAGACTACCTCCGTGAAGGCGTGAATGGCTGAATGCAAAGACCCGGATCGACGGCCCCAAATTGGCATCGTCGAGATCTCACGTCTCCGTGTTGGCTGAAGGACACCATCTCAAGACCCAACTATAGTTCACGAGCTGCACTCCAGCTCTCGGCCGGAACCCTGTCGTCGCCGGTTCTCAGGGCCCTGTCGCCCTGATCGTTCGTCGTGGAAGGCTAGCATAGCTAGCAACCCCACAGCCAACCCAACGTTGACCAAGGGGCTCCTGGACACTCTCTGAATGTCTACCCCGCCGTGCTTTCGTCCGAGGAATCATGAGATGAGTGACGATTTTTCCAAGTGTTCCGTATGTCATGGTCGGCACGAGTACGGATACCCCATGCAAGCCCAGATAACCCTTCTGACGCCGTCGCGCGAACGAGACGGGCGTAATCCGTCAAAACGTTCACCCTAACGTACGGCCTACGGTTCCTGGGCTGGATGGCGCCAGGAACGAGTCCAAGCATGAAGTAGTTTGAAAGGATTGCCGAAAGTTGAAACCCCAAGGATCATGGATGACCCATACGAACGGTGCAGGAGCCTTTGGGACAAGATAGACTCTGGAGGTTGAAGGAGTGCATGTCGGTGGCAACCCACCAGCCCATGTGCTTGTGTAGTACGGATATGGTGCTATACGGATGCAGATACCCAATTGAAGTTGACATAGTTGGTGAGAGAGGTGACTAGTCACCTAGTGAGATGGACATGGGACAGGCGAGACTCTCTCATGATGAGACTCTCTGAAGACCCAGTGAACTCTTAGTCCAGAGAACTTGAGAGAAGCAGGCTTAGAGATAAGGCGCACACAATTGCAGATGCCAGTTTGTATGGCTTTTGGTAACGTAACAGATCCAGAGCGTCGGGCTCCTCAAACCTTCCCTCCGGGCCCTTGGATTCTTGGACCCTTGACTACTCCGTACGTCCGTTCCTCTTTGTTGTCCATGCCGATCAGCCATGGCCACATGGCATCCATCGACCGTCAGCCGATGGACAGCCCTGCCACTTCCGTGCATCCTGAGCTCGAACCAGTGGACCCGGCGTATGGATCCAGCTCGCCGGTGACTCGTGCGTCGTGACACTGCTCACTTCGGCGGATGTGTGTGTACGGAGTAGAGTGTAGAGTTCAGAGAGCAAGCAGTGCGACGACTCACGAGTGCCTGTCAGACACGTCTCTCAATATGAGCTCGGTGACTGGTGGCACCTCTGGATGTCACTTTGCAAAGCTACACGCACAGTCAAGCTAGGACAGACAGAACTGAGTACAAATACAGAATTTTTGAAAATTACCTGTGAGCCTATGGTCGCGATGCGACCAACACGCGATTTCAACCGCTGGGCGGGTCTCATACCGTTTCCTCCACTGGGCTGCACTCCGCATCACATTCCTGCGACACCGTCTTTTCCTTGCAGCTGCAAGCCATTGTGCGGGCGTTCGAATCCTACTGTGGCCAGGGATTCGTTCGACCAACGAGGCATCGGGGCCCCGGTATGGCCGGAAGAGGAAGCTCGTTGGCTTCGGTTTTTTTTTGGTTTTTTTTCAATTGACCAAAGCCTCGCTCTCAAGCTTTGAACCATCCAGCTTCCACAGATCCAGTCCCTGAACTCGAGAGTGAGCTCTCGGGTGGTGGCTTCGGTCTCTTGTCAGATATTTTTTCCTAAAAGATATGTCCGCAGAAGGACCAGGCGGCTCAGAAGATGGATGACCTTCCACAGATCGGAGATGTGAATGTATAGGTAATGCAATAGCCGCCACCATGCAAGGATGATCCTTTTGTATGTGTGGGCTTGGGCCAACATGAGGGGGCTGACATGGACAATCCATGTGGCTAGAAATCGGCCCCTCTTCCGCCGAGCCCCGTCTGACACGCCGCATGCTCCGGGCGATTCGGGAAAGGCTGATGATATCCGGAATGGACAGCCACGGGCTGCCCGCCGATTGAGTGGGCAATCCACCGTGGTCCGCTTGAGCCTTCCGGTTATAGCAAAAGCCCGACTGTCCCCTCCGCATCCCGATCCTCCCCTCCTATAACCGGACATCCCGGCGAATGTTCGAGCTGGAGGGAGGGGTAGCGAGCGAGCCTGTGCACGGCGCTCAAGATGGCTTCAGCTTGATACTGCTTCAAGCGCAATTACAGACTCTTATTACGAATACGGATGAGAAAGCGAATATCCGTACACTATTGGCAACGGGTGGAGTTGTCATCTTGTCTGCTCGGAATATTCCCTCCTTTGAAACCCCACGCGATGTCCATGTTATTCCCACTTGGCGCCCACAGTTTCGCCCATCCACGGGCCACGAATCACAAGTCACAACCCCAAAGCTATTTCCCAATCCCCCGAGTCCGAACTGGATGCCAAAAAAAATAAAAAATACGCGATGATGGAGCGTCGACATGATCCATTAAGGGTGACGATCGCCGCCGCAAGTCGTCCTCATGGTCAGGTAGGCCCTGTGGCCCTCATCTCCTTCAAGCCAAAATCAGCTGTCTCCTCTGTGGCCGCTAGACTGTGTCCTGAAATGAGGGCACCGTACGGAGATGGGCTCTCTGCTGTTGATGAAAACAGAAGAAGAAGAAGAAGACGACGAATACCCCAACCCACGCACGCTACCGCCATCGAAAACAACGCTTCCAGGCTTCGGAACGTTTCTTCTGTCTGAGTCAGGGATCCGAGCCTCCGACAAAGGCCACGCCGACGGGGATTTTTCCTACTCCCTGCCATGGCCCGTGTGAACTGGGGCTCTGCCCATCATGTTACCAAACTCCACTGAATAGCGTGTATCTTTATACCGAGCACAGCAAGCCTGTTGTTTCCCTCGCCCACACGGACACCGCTGATCGCGTTGATCACGTTGATCCGGACGACCAACCGAGCCATGGAGCCAGCCTACGGATACCTGCTGAGTGCGGACACATGCTATGATGCTACGGAGTACAACCAATATGGATACATAGTCGCATACGGATACCTAACCCCAAAATCAAGCTTAATCCTGGAAAACAGTACAAGGGATGTATGTAGGCGACCTGAACCTGGAGACTTGGCCACAATCCAGCCCCCTTTTCTCTGGACCGCTCGCTTCGGACCCCCTCAGGCTCCAGATGTGATGCCACCATGGCGGGCTGAACTCCCCTATTTTTCTTCACCCAGTTGCTTGACAATGGCGAATTCCGTCTCATCCCTGCCAGAAGCCAGGGACACAAGGTCTTGGCCAGAGGGCTTCGGACAGCAAACCCCCTCAAGGGCAATGAGGCTTCTTGGAAGAGTTTCAGTACACAAGAATTCAACCCGTCTAATTTCCATTGTCTGCATCATGATCTCTCCTCTGATGTGGAGTACTTCCGTTGGATTCGAGAGCTTCCAGCAGTCATGTCTCTCTGTCTACGGATACAGTCGCTGGATATACGGAGACACTGCAGTATTGGACTCTTCCAAGACTTCCATACACAGAATCTACATGGACGCAGTAGAAGAATATTCCGCGCCAATTCCATCCTGACCGGTACTTGAATTGCGGGGTACGTCTGCCCTTTTAGGCGCTCTTTCTCATCCAGAGAGTTGCAGGCTTCATACCGCCGGCACTCAGCAGCCCCAACTTCCCCTTCATGACTCCGAATGTCCTTGTCGAGCAGTATCATCGTCTCATGCGCACCATTCGGACGGCTAGCTTTCGGCCTACCTTCCCTGCAGGCTACAGCGCCGTACCTTATCCGGCCGGACCGTCCTGTCCACCTCTTCTCAATCTTCAAGGTTCCTGTTAATCTGAACTCTCCTACCCACAGACGGCGGCACGCACGGCAGTTTCTTGCTCGCTTAGCCCAGACATCCTTTCATTTTCCCGTCCCTCATTGCTTATTTGCCCAGGTTCCGTCAGATACGGACACTTTCGTATGTTTGTAGGGAGCTTGTTGGTGACTTTGGTCAGCGGCCAGCCCGCCCAAGGCGTCGTTCAGGCATGCAAGATCGGTCCACCGCACCACCTTGAACCAGCCCTTCATCTCGTTGGCCCAGTTCACCCTGGGCTCTGCTCCATGTATATTGCCCGTCTTCGTCCTCCCATCACCTCCAAGGGCATGTCCCAGTCATCGAGCTTGAATTCCGCCAATCAAGGTCAAGGGCACCTTGTTGCTCAGGGCCAGTCGAGCTCCTCCGACCTGGTACAGTTATTTACTATTGTGTAGTGTTCTCCGTGATGGAGTTCGGATGGCGAGATCTCGGTTCCTTGCAGAGGTGGCACTCGGCTCCCGGTTCCCGTCCGACTTTAAAGTTTCTTTTATATTCTTCGAGCACCTCTCTCTTTCGGGATCCCGAACCTATCTCGCCGCCAGTCACTCTTTACCAGCACTGCATAGCATCAACTGTTTCTCTGCTTCTGTCGACCGATTTTCTTCTTCATCATGCGATTCGGTTCCATCCTTTCACTCGCAGCTGCGCTGCTGAGCGCCACCGTTCAGGCCTACGGTAATCCAGGAGCTTGCTCTGGTCAGTGCTGGAGCCATGACCCTTCGGTTGTCCGTCGCGATGATGGCACCTATTTTCGCTTCGAAACTGGCAGCAAGATCGGCATTTGGAAGGCTCCTGATTTGGTAGGCCCCTGGACCTACCAAGGAGCTGCTCTGCCCTCGGGCAGCAAGATCAACCTCAAGGGCAATGATGATCTCTGGGTATGTCCCGTTCCAGCCTTCCTGATCCTTTTTCTGGTTTCTTTACTTTTCTCGACCTGCCAAGTGAAGGGTCCAAACGAGCGAGGTTGAAACGAGATTGGACGAAACACCCGCCTCTCAAAGCACACACACTAATGGACTTGTCTTCCATAGGCCCCCGATGTGAACAAAGTTGGCGATCAGTACATTCTCTACTACACCGTCTCCTCTTTCGGCGTTCAGAACTCAGCCATCGGTTACGCCACCTCCACCACCATGGAGTTCGGCTCCTGGACTGATCATGGCGCCACCGGTGTTACTTCTTCAGCCGGCAGCCGTTACAATGCCATCGATGCTCAGCTTGTCAAGTCTGGTAGCAACTACTTCCTGAATTTCGGCTCCTTTTGGCAGGACATTTTCCAAGTGCCTCTGAACGCAGCTGCAACTAAAGCCAACGGCAACCCGTACAACATCGTTTTGAACACCACTGCTCCTCAACCCGTCGAGGGTGCCTTCGTCTACGAGCGCAGCGGCACCTTCTGGGCCTTCTTCAGCTCAGGCTCCTGCTGCGGTCTCGACGCTAACCGCCCGACCCCCGGAAACGAGTACAAGATTTTCGTCTGCCGTGCCTCTTCTGTCAATGGCCCCTATACCGACAAAAGCGGCAAGAGCTGCCTGGCGGGCGGCGGCACTCTTCTTCTTCCTTCCCACAACAAAATCTATGCTCCTGGCGGTCAGGGCGTCTTGGTTGACCCCAAGCGTGGCGCGGTCCTCTACTACCACTACAGTGAGTTGTCAATTCTGGCTTCAACGAGGTATCAAGTCTAACTATTTCAGTGAATACCGACGTCGGCTACGCCGATTCCCAGACTCTGTTCGGCTGGAACGTCATCTCCTGGTCCGGCGGCTGGCCTTCTATCTAAAATTCCTAAGTACGGAAGGAAATGAATGGCAGCGGCGGATAAGTGTTATTACATTCTTGTGGATATTATAGCTCCATATATGCTAAGGGGCATGTACATACTTTGCGCTCCAGAATATCAGTATCATATTGATGAGAGAGTGCGGCGCTGGTCTCATATCAAACCCATGTTTGTTTCTCTCTGCTTCTTTTCCAATTGTAACACTTGCAAGTTGCCGACACGGACTCTGGCTGACCCAGAGTCGAGATGAAGGACTGTTTCTTTCGTGTCAAGGAGGATTGCCTTGGCTTTTCTTTCTCGGGAGGTGCCTAAGGCCATACATGGCGTTACCGGCTACCGCTATCATTCGAGGTTCCAAATTTTCAAATCGACTTACAGCAATCCGCCAGCGATCGCCACTTCGTTCCTTTCTTTTCTAGCTAATTGAATAACCTAGGAATATACAGTATTACTACCTGATGTCTCGGTCCTTCTACTTTCTATAAAGCCTCCGGATATCCTTTGCTTCCATGTCCCTATTCAAACAGGTTGAGTTACCGTAGTCGAGACTAGACGTATATGGTCCATAACTTGGAAGATTTGACGCTGAAATACCCAAGCCCCAGGTGATCTCGACCCTAGAAATGTGTCTCTACAAGAGTTTGGTCAGTACAAGTATCTGATGCAGAGTTTATCTTCGATCAACCTGTAAACAACGTATTTCATACTAAGGTGAACAACTAAGCAGTGTCTAATTACTGTCTCCATATTCCTATTCTCCCATGACATGCTCTCGTACACCGGGCATACATTCAATCGGTGGAGCTTATTATGTGTGCCGCCAACATCCTTCAAAATCAGAGTACCTCGAATTCAAAATTGAGTGCGCTCAACCGATCAACAACTCAAGCGGAATGACGAGTTATGCTGTGGCAGGCTTCTTGTCCTCGGCAGGCTTCTTCTTGTCCTCATCTCGATCTCCATCAGGGCCACGAGGAGGAGGGCCGGGGGGGAACGCGCCAGGGAAGCCAGGGGGGAACGCGCCAGGGAAGCCAGGGGGGTAAGCACCGGGGAAACCAGGACGGGGCTGAACCGGCGCGGGGAACGGAGCGGGGAAGCCCGGAGGACCGGCCGGGGGAGGAGGAGGAGGACGTCTCTCACCATCGCCGCCACGACCACCGCGGTCGCCATCCCGGAAGCACTCACGGTCGCCATCGCGGTCACCATCTCTTCCACCCCTATCGCCGCCGTTTCGATCCCCGTCACGCCCCCCACCGTTGCGGTCGCCATCGCGGTCACCATTACGGTCCTCGCGAGCAACTTTGCGATCGCCATCACGATCACCATCGCGCCCTCCTCCACGTCCTCCTCGGACGCAGCATGATCTTCCGTCTCTGTCACGTCCACGATCTTCTTCACGGCAGTCTCGATCGCCGTCACGATCTCCATCTCGTCCGCCACGGTCGCCACCATTACGATCTCCGTCGCGATCACCGCCGTTACGATCTCCGTCGCCATCGCCCTTCTTCTTGTCTTCTCCCTTCTTGTCACCGTCTGCCTGCGGGACAGGGGCAGGAGCTGGAGGAGCGGCAGCCGGAACAGCCGGGGGGGCCTGTCGAGCCACGAGAGCTGGCTGGCTCAGAGCGCTGCGTCATATTATTAGCCTGACATTCCTGGTCGACAGGTCCGTTAATGCTGCTTACCTTTGCTCGCGGGAGTCCATTCCGGATGGGGCGCCATTCGCACCCATGGTCGCCGCGACCATGATAATGAGAGACTGGGAGAAACGCATTGTGTAGCTGGTAATCTCGGCAGACCAAAGTTTCTAAGTGTTTTCCTTATGTATTAATATAGGTTGATAGGGACCAGTTTTGAAAGTAGGTGGTATTATTAGATCGAGGAAATATCGAAGATGAATGGTGAGTGATAACGATAAATAGAAAGAGACTACCATAGACAAAGATCGAGGAGAGTGTCCTTTAAGTAGTCGTTTCTACCTACACTCGAGAGCTATGGTCCGGACGTTGATCGGTTTCTTCCTACTTTGCCTACTATTCTTGGCCTTCCCCAAGATATCGCATCATCCAGGCGCCCCGTCTCCAACAGTTCGTTCCTCGAAGATGCCTAGCATAAGCAGTTCATGTTGCTCGAAGTCTATTATGCTATCGGCATCTTCAAAAGGCAATTTTTGTAGAGGCTCTGGCCAATGAGGGGAGCGTCAGGATGCACAGTCCGGTGGCGGAGACCGGTCGTTGGCACCGCCGCCCATCTTGATGCGCGTGGCTCGAAAGGGCCTGGACGCAGGTGGCAGAAATTCGACGCAACCCTGACTAAATCTTCCTAAGAGGACCGTCTGAACTTTTGTTTATCTGCAATGTCTAGAGTCGTTGCTCAAAGTAGAACAGCTAACCCGGCAATACCTTGTCTACTTCACCAGTCCACTCAATAAGCTATTGCCGCGACTGGGATGCTCGCTGCTCCTGTAGAAAACTCTTGGGATACCATAAGTTCCATTTTTCTTCAGTTGGTTCCAATGACTTCATGCTTGTTCATGCCAGTCGCAAGCTGTCTGTAGCCAAGAGTGGGAGGCTGGTTCAAAAGACTTGGCGCAAGCTCAAGTGATCCTCGATTACATGACTCAGCCTAAATTATTAGTTGCGCTCTGACTGCACTGGTAAGACTTCAGAGTGCAAGTATTCAACGTTGAGTAAGGGTTTCCTTTGAATGAGGCTGAGTTCGCATCATCAGCGCTCGCTGATTGATGCCGCGTCCGACCTCTTGGATGGCGTAGGGGTAAACGTCAGCTGTCAATACAAACTTCGCATACTTCCCCACCAGTTTCCTCCAACTGTTGCGATCACCACCATCATCGTGTGGTCCATGCCACAGCTTGGTCAGGTCGCACACCATTTCAAAGACAGGCTCGATGGATCCTAGATGAAAAAAAAAACTAAAAGAAAACTCATGACAGCATTCCGACATGCTGCTTGCTAGAAGCTGACAGAACTTTCTGGTCCTACGACTTCCATAACCGCCCGATGGTAGGCCTGCTACAGAGGAACTGGATATACTCACATACGCCTCTGCCATAGTTGATCTCGGTTTTATGGCCTTCCCCAGGGTTTTCCGTGCATCAACAAGGCTTCCACATCTACAATTTCATGCAGCTCATCCGAAATTGGTTGATTCTTCCCAGCGTCAAGTAATTTCTCAAGCGTCGTAAGCCAATTTCTTCTATCCTCTTCCTGTGTGACGCTGACTGGGCCCTGAAGTCGTGACCTGAAAGATACTTCAGCTTTCTTATTCATCCAAGCTCTGTCCAGAATCCACAATATGTGTTTCGGTGACATAGCTTCCATGGAGCAAGACTAGCATCGATGAGGCGTATCAAACGCAGTAAGCATGAAATCGATATGCAATGCAATCTAGTCTCGATGCAAATGGTGGGCAAGCAACAACCACATAGGTAGTGCGTTCCGGCCGGTATTTCCGGTTTAGTATTACAATTACAATACGCATTACACGGCCAATGCACCTTCTTGGCTTTCCGCTTATTCTCTAGCCTCAACGGCCATGCGTAAATGGGAACTGCACACTATTGAGACAGTGTGGGTGGAGAGGGGGGAAGGAGAAAAGAAAAAGAAAAAGAAAAGAAAAACTGCCATGTCCGGGCCTCCGGCATCATATCACGAATCTAAATTACATAAATAGACCCTGACTCGCATTTTATTATGCCTGCTTCCCCGAAGTTACCGTTAAGATACAGTCTTTCGAAGCCGTCGGAGTCTTCCAATGCCTTGATTGAGGGAGGAAGAACTCCCTTCTGCCCCCGGCTCCTTGCCGAGACGTAGCTCAAGCCATGACAGCGGCTCCAGATGTTTAAGGATGCAGGGGCCATCATTCGGCCATGCTCGATTACCCTAACCGTCAACGTCGGGGTTTGTTTCTGCACTCGTTTCGTCCGTAATTAAACTTCAGTGCTGAAAAGTCCTAGTGGGCTGAAAGCCATGAAGCTCAGCGAACGTCAAAGTTTTCAGCTTAGACAGCGTGGCGGCGTGTCTTTCACTTACCTAGTAAGCTTTGATTCTTCGCCTCACTTTATTAGTTCCGGCATAATGCATAAATCCCACTTTCTTTCAATATCCTGTGTTTCTGAGGTGAAGCCCGCTTTGACGGCTTTATTTTTCACAACTTCAAACTTGCATCCCGCGGCCGTGTGTATGTCCCATATTAAAGCCAACACCGAATAAATGGTCTCAGGGTACACGTACTATTGATGCTTTTGTTGCAATGTTCTGGTCAGACACTTTACTACAGCTAACGGCTCTTATCTAGGCGAGTGTGATGGGCTTGCAACGGATTTTGCACTTAGCATTGACAGCCTGCTGATATTGAATAGAGCAGCGCCTTCTGCACACAAGAAATGAGGTAAGAAGTGGAGTAAAAAAATATTTTTGTTGTGGTACGAAATATCTTCTTAGTTTTCTTCGGTCGGCCTTCGCAAATTTTGGCCGGGAAAGAGTCAAGACTACCTCCGAGATATTAGTCTAACCTGCCCCAAGTAGCTTTTCCAACACATCGACACCAGACTGCAATGATTCAAGGGCCGCAATAAAATCGACGGCCCCCATATAGATGCGGAAATGATTGACTGAGTCGCCAACGTGTGCTTCCAGCATCTCAATAGATCTTTTGAGGGCAGTCCAGGCGACCTCTCTTGGGTAGGTTTGATATAATAGGCGCGCATCTGTGTCGAAATAATTTCGCCGGATTGCTTTAATCGCAGGGAATCTGCCTATGCCAAAGTCTTCTTCGAAGATATCAAGAAATCATTGCACTGAATTTCCAAAGGGGGCTGCCTCATAAGTAATGAAGAAGTCTTTGGATCTTTTTAGTGTATGCACAGTTGCACTCCATGTTTTGGGTTATCGCAGCCATACAAAGTGTCCTGGGAACAGTCAATTCATGATCCATCATGAACTGAGATCCCTTCGAAGACTCTTCTGCACGGCTGAAGCAGG